CCTCGTCTAAAACTCGCATGCAAATTGATTTTAACTTGCTTTGATGGGACCCCGACGGGTCTTTAATAAAAATTATCTATCTATCTAACACTCCAAATATGTAAATACATGTATATGCAAAATTCGAAAGTTCTTCACCTATTCCGAAAGAGGACAGTTTCAGGAGAAGAAGAGCATGGTCAACAGGATCAAAGCCTTAGTGAAATCGAAATAGACTCTGTAAAGTGCAAATCCATTGTCTCTAGATTGGAGAACATAGTCAAAGAAAGAGACGTGACGAGTGTCACAAGACCGAGCTTTGAGGAATCCATGTTGATCAACACTCAGTAGGTTATTCTCCGTTAGGTGCGGTTATTAGCCGGAAGTCATTAAATGACGTAGATTGGCCATGCTTGGGAATGTGCATAATGTCTGATTCCTTTGACAAAGTAGGATAAGTTTCACTTTTAAGGGCGAGATTAAATATCTTGCATTAGGGGGACGGGAAAATCGTATTTGCATCAGCTTCTGAAATGCTTACTGGGACACCAGCAGTTCCAGGGATATGAGATGGACGAAAACGTCGAATCGCAACAATCGTCTCCCACAGAATGAAAATTATAGTTTTGGGAACTGGCCTGGTCAATGCCTGTATAGTCAGAAGCTGAGTACTCGAGTTTTTAAGAAACGTTTTGGACAAGAAAACATTAAAACTATCAGCGGTCAACTAGGCATCAGATATAGGATTTCCGAAAGCGTCCCGGAGGGTGAGATTTTGAGTGATTTTATGATGCATATGTATGTATATATTTGGAGAGTTAGAGGGAGAGCCCTTGATGACCCCATTCATGTAGACTACTTTCGCAGATTCGTACTCAAAAATAAAAGCAAAGGCATTTACAATGTGATCGGGGCACAGTTCAATCGTAGATATAGGGTAATGCATAAGAGCACTGCAAATTAGTGCGGAAGGGTTGTATATGGCAGTTTTTTTACAAAGCTGACTGCACAGTCATGCTGCGCTTTTTTGTGAGTTCGCACTTTTCGGGCGAGAGGTTTCGAGATATTTAACGAACGGTATTCATGGAATTGGTCTTTTTCGGCTAGCTGTTTTTCTTCAGACAATCTCATAGCCCGCTTACAAATCAAGGGCAGGACAGAAACGTCGTTCAGAAGATGGAATCGGCGATAAAGTAGATTGCAAAAGGGACTATTTTTGCTATTTAAACTCTTATATAAACACACATTTAACCCACTCACCTATTTAAGACATCATATCCACCCACGACGTAATAGTCACCGTGAGGTCTTTTTATTTCCGCCTCTGGCATGTACTGTTAAATATCGTCGGTTCTATTCTGTAAATGCAATTGCTATTTGGGATAAACTACCCATGAGTGTGAAAACTCTGCAAAATTATCCTTTATTTAAGAGAACTATTACTCGATTTTTGCATTCAGAAAAGCTCCCACAAATTTTGGGTGCTGAATTTGCTGATCGACTCTACCGTAGCGATGGCGTTTGGGGTCTCTGAACAGTATGGCCGGTCTCACCAGCTGTTCCCCAACGCCTCTACTATGACTGTCCCCAACTTCATGAAAGGAATTGACGTCCGATAATGTCCGATATCGTGCAACTTCCCCCCCCCCCCTTCTTGACGGCCGAAAATCTACCACCAGCAGTTTTTTCTTCTGAACCCTCTAAACCGTAAAAACCACCATCAACTATATTTTTATTCCTTTACCTCAGGAGTCTTTTTCACGGCTGGTCGGATTTATGTTTAACGCTTCCCTTGACAATCCCAGTAAACTGGCATTTAATAAATTATTATTATAGCATCCGTAATGAAGGTCTGCCAGTTCGTCCGATTTTAGGCATACGAAACTCCCCGTATGGTGCGATAGCAAAGTGGCTGGCAGAGAAACCCAAGCCCGCACAGCGTCAGCTAGCACCATGCATCTACCGAGATACCTTTGAATTCATTGACGACATTAAAGTTCTTAACGTCTACTGAATGTTGTTGTTATCGCTAGACGCCTTGTCACTTTATACAAACGTTCCGGTCACCGAGACAGTTGATTATATCTGTGATTTTCCACCTGCCTGTCAGCAGGAAATAGGAATTCCGAGGAAGGCACTCCAGGAACTATTATTAAGATGCATATTAAATGTGCAGTTCCTGTTCCACGACGAACTCTAGACAAGTAGACGGCGTTTCTATGGGCTTACCCGTTGGACCTCTCCTCGCAGATATCTTCATGAGCAAATTAGGGGGATTCCAACTAAGCGATCAGATCGATAAGCTTAAACATTACGGTCACTTTGTTGATGATATCTTTGCAAATTAATTGCAGAAGCCGATGTGACTACCCTCTTAGATGCTGCAAATCAGGCAGATTAAACCCGCCACACCGACCGCCGAAAAGAAAACTTTGTTCCTCAAAGTCCCCTTCCAATGGGCCGCTGCGAGTGAACTCCTGAAGAGACGCCTTGATCAAGCTGTCTCGCGAACCTTCCAAGCAGCAAGGGTTCAAGTATCCTTCTCTACTAACCCTAATGTACGCGGAGACGGTAAGGATAAGTTGCCACCGCAGCCCACCTCAATGCACATATATTCCTTCACTTGCTCCTGTGGAGCAGGTTATATTGGTCGCACGAGTCGGCGCTTATCCAAAAGAATACGGGAACAGCTCTCGGCATGACTGGGAAAAGGCGAAGCGAGGAGAGTAAGCAACGCCATTCTGGGGCATATTGTCGATTCCGGTCATCGTGTGGACTCCAACGACGCTTTTTGTGTTAATTCTAACGTCCCATCGAGCAATTCTAATCTACTAGGCCCAGTGCCTGTTAGCGACATCTGAAGCGGCTGCCATTTGGTTGCGATGGCGAATCTTATGTGAGCAGAAGAACCACGTTCAGGCTCCGCGCCTGAAGAGGACGAAGGTCGACTAACGCTGCAACTTTCCCAACGCGTGCCCTTCCGCTCTCACCCCGCCACTGACACTGCCTACTATTATCCCCTCCCCTCCCCCACATTCCCACATCCCGCCTGTGCTTTGAGGAGAACTATTATGGATTTCTCTTATCGCTGACATGTTTTACTTCTACCCCGTTCTCATATAACTGTGGTGACCCGACGAGAATTTACCGAAAGCTACGTATGCTCGTCACCTCGTCTTCTGATTACTGCCATGGGGATTTTCTCAACTCTTTGACAAATTTCTTTTACCTCGGTGATGAGTGCATCTTTCGCATCCGTCCACTGGCCTGGCGGTCTGTAAACCAGGGCCATATGGAGGCTTGAATAGTTTGGCACCTTCAAGTAACAACTGAGTATTTCACAATCAATGTTCTGAACTTGGGAAGGCTCAACCCTGACGTAGTCGATGCCATCTCGTATAAATATTGCAACCCCCCCACCCCTTCGTTCGTTGCGGTCCATTCGGAGAAGCTGAAAACCATTTAGCAAAACTTTCGCGTCTTTTATCTGCGCATTTAACCATGCTTCTGTTAAAGCTATCAAGTTGGGTTGGAAATGGGCCGCGGGCAGTTTTATCTCGTCCAATTTATCTAATAAACTCTGTCTACAGCATTTTTATATTATTCGGTTGTTTAGATCTCTCGGAATTGTTTGCTAGTGCTTTTGAGTGACAGTTACTACTGCAAATTTCACATAGCGTACCAAATCCACTAGCCGATTTTGAATTTGCTGATGTTTGTCGGAAACGAGAGCCGGTGCTTTTACAGTCAGTTTCACCGGATGCTTCCCTAAAAAGGGACGCTCTATTTTCACAATTCGATTGTTTACTATTTTCAGATTCAGTTCACCCTCGCTCTGACGTTTTCTCAGGTCCTCTACCAGCGTCCTCATTTTTACCCGTTCGATTGGGTGATAATCCGGCTGAAAAACACCTCACGATGGTTGTCTCTAAGCCTGGACTTTCGCGACAAGATGAGATCTGCTTGCTGTTCGTTTCCTAATACGATATTTAGTGGTCACGGCCGCACTTTCTTTGCGTTGTTTCTTATTAAAGGTCCCAAGGGGAAGACCTTTTGGATTTCGATGACCTCACCAGATTCTTGGGTGTCATTCAGTAGGTTTTGGAATGTCAGCAGATCGTGTTTCACCCTCTCTTTCGGGGTGTCACCAGGTGTTTCAGGAACTCCTTGCACTACCACACAACGTGATCTCTCGTGGAAAAAAACTGGTGTTTGTGGCCTGCCCTCTTTTGCTGGCAGTAGATTGAGTCTCAGCCTCTGGGACTGCCTTTACGGCTGTATCCGGATCAGTTGCTAGGTTGCTCGCGTCCGTGATATGTGCTGTAACGTCTTCATTTAGCTGCCCCACCTGACTTTTTGCATTATAGTTTGATATAAATGTGAAGAGCAAGCTGTTAGCGTCTTTTGTTAGCGTAGGTAAGTCCATACGATAAATATGATACGAATAAAGTCTTCTCCTACCCATGAGCATGGTTTGGCCAGGCGTTTCGAAGCGTGACGGTCGAATTTTTATTAGACGTTTTGGACAAGAGAGCGTTGAAATTATCAGCTGCCAACCTGGCGTCTGCCATGGAACTTCCGAAAGCGTCTCGGACTTTTATAATGTTAGAAAGTAGTTCTGCTATACTGACGAGCGGGTTTCGGCAAGATTAACCGTTTATGTTAGCTGTTTTTCCTTGGACAGCCTTCTAACCCTCTTACACATATGACAGATCAAGGGCAGAACGAAGACGTCGTTCTGCTGACGGAAACGACGGCAGGGCTTCCGCAGCCTACAGCGAAAACAAAGCAGAGGAACCTCGTCCGTAACACCAATTATGTTTTTATAGGGAAAACGGCAAAAAAATGGGTAAAAAATTTCGTACAGTTTATATAAATAAATATATATAAATGGAAGAGGAGGATGAGGCGATCTCTGGGGAATAAGGTTTATTCATCTGACGTTTCGTGCTCATGCTCGAGCACATCATCGGAGATAGGCTAAGTGAGAAATACAGGGTTTAAATAGGCCATCTGCACTCTCATCCGATAGGTTCGTCCCGTTCGCTTCTCATTGGCCCTCCTCTCGCGCGTAGATGGTGCCTGACGGCCTCGTATGGCGCTGGCAAATCGATACTTCGGTTGATAGAGTTCGTGTCTGATTTCCAGGCCTCAATCACTTCCCTCGCCAGTTCGCTTTCGGCTCGGCCGAGCACCTGGGCGCCGTCAAAGTCGAACTTGTGGTTGTTTTCCAGGCAGTGCATGGCGACATGCGATAGTACGTCCTTTCGCCTTACGGCCAAAGTGTGCTCATGCATGCGCGTTCTTAGGCGTTTGTCGGTCATGCCACAGTAGTTGGCTGGACAGTCCAGACATTTGACGCGGTAAATGACGCCTGACGTGTCTGCAGGTGGTAGCCGGTCCTTGGGCTGCATGATTAAGCGGCGGATGGTGGCCTCCGGTCGGAGACCAACGCCTACGCCTAGCGGCCTTAGTATGCGCTCAGTGGCTTCGGAGACGTTACTCACGTAGGGCAAGACACGGAAGATTTCTGGTCTTTGTTTCTTCTCACCGTCCGTCTTCGTGTGCCTTCGGTACAAGCATTTGTTCACAAAACTGCGTGGATATCCATTGGCAAGGAAGAGGCGCCATAGGGTTTTACGCTCCCGCAGCTTCTCGGCTTCTGTGCTGCACTGTGTGTAGGTGCGGCGAAAAAGGGTCCGGACACAACTGCGTTTATGCGACAGGGGGTGATTGCTGTTGTAATAAAGAATTTTCTCCGTGTCTGTCGCCTTTCGAAAGACACCAGTCTGGAGGGTTCCGTCTTCCTGCCTCGATACCTGGACGTCGAGGAAAGGGAGCACTCCGGTATTTTCTTCCTCCGTGGTAAATTGGATTTGTGGAAAAATTGAGTCCAATTCTCTTTTAAAGTTGTCTTTCGCGTCTCGGTGTAAGATGACAAAGGTGTCGTCTACGTAGCGCATCCAGAATTTCGGCTTGTTTGTCTGGAAGACCCGAGTTTCCAGTTCCTGCAAGACCGCCTCAGCTAGGTAGCCGGAGATTGAGGACCCCATTGGGGCTCCTTGGATTTGCTCGTAAATTTGGCCGTTAAACGTGAAGTACGTGTGTAAACAGTAGTCCAGTAGTTCCATCGCGTGCCTCCTCTTAAAAGGTTTTCCTTCTTCGTCGTACCTTTTCTTCAGTAGGTCATCGACAGCTCTCATGGCCAATTCTTTAGGGATGGAGGTGAATAGAGAGACGACGTCAAAAGATACCATTATTTCGTCGGGGGCTATTGTTACGCCTTTTAGTATTTCCAGGAAGTGTGTTGACGACACAGCTGTGTGTTCTGAGCCGTCCGTCAGCTTCTTCAAATGCTTTGCAAGCCATTTAGCCAGTCCGTATGTAGGCGTGCCTTTCAGCGCCACAATGGCCGTATTTAATGCCAGTTTACAGGCATTGTCAAGGGAAGCGATTAAACACAAATCCGACCAGCATTGAAAAAAACTCCTGAGCTTAAGGGATAAAAATATAGTTGATGGTGGTTTTTACGGTTTGGAGGGCTCAGGAAAAAAAACTGCCGGCGGTGGGAGAATATCGACCGTCAAGAAGGGGGGAGGTTGCACGGTATCGGAGATTATCGGACGTCAAATTCCTTTCATGAAGTTGGGGAAAGTCAAAGTAAAGGCGTTGAGGAACAGCTGGTGAGACCGGCCATAGTGTTCAGAGACCACAAACGCCATCGCTACGGTACAGTTGATCAGTAGATTCAGCACCCAAAATTTGTGGGAGATTTTCTGAATGCAAAAATCGAGTAATAGTTCTCTTAAATAGAGGATAATTTTGCAGAGTTTTCACACTCATGGGTAGTTTATCCCAAATAGCAATTGCATTTACAGAATAGAACCGACGATATTTAACAGTACGTGCCAGAGGCAGAAATAAGAAGACCTCACGGTGACTATTACGTCGTGGGTGGATATGGTGTCTTAAGGAGGTGAGTGGGTTAAATGTGTGATTATATAAGAGTTTAAATAGCAAAAATAGTCCCTTTTGTAATCTATGGAACCATACAGGATCGAGGCTTGTAAGACGGCAACGTTCTTGGTAAGACAAATGTCGGTGATCCGGGGTTACAATTCTCTTGGTAAAAAAGTGTTGAACGGATTCTATTTTCTTCCGCTCAGTAGCACGCATGAGGCTAAATGAAAACGAACAGTATTCCAGACCAGGTCTAACGTACATGTTGAAAAGGCGCATTCTAATGTCCCTAGTTTTAAAATTTCGGAGGATAAACCCGGTCGTTCTACGTGCTTTGGAGACTATCAAGCCACAGTGCTCCGAGAGATTAAGACTCTTGGAGTATGATACGCCCAAATCCTTTATAACCCCAGGCACATTTATTGCGTGACCTTCAATACTTAGTTGAGGTTGGCGGTCGTCGCCAACCACCATGACTGAGCACTTATGCCAAGAAAGAGAAAGGCGCCATGTGCGGCACCACTGGGCGAAAGCCTGTAGATCGCTCTTTAGGAGCTCAAGCACGATGTCATGATCTGCCGGCTTATATCGATATGCAACTTTAAGATCATCGGCATACATTAACGGCTTACCATTCTGAAATAAATCGGGTACATCATTCACGAAAAGGCAAAATAAAAGCGGGCCGAGTACACTATCCTGAATGACTCCACTCCTCACACGCGCGCAGCACGATTTTGAAAAGATAAGTGAAGTTATATTTTTGGATTCAATTTCTTAATCCCTTGCGCAGTTTTCCAGTGTAGACCTGACGAAATTTTCTATTTTTTGTCATAAGTCTTCTTCGCTTCCTGTCGTGTTTCTGCGATTTGTCATAAAGCAGAAATCTATTGTCGCAGTTTTTCACCCAACATAGCCTCAATCCTATCAAGTCTTACCTGCATAAACAAAAGGTTTTCCTCGTAAAAGTATAGATTAACATTATATTTTAAGCAATAAACCGTCTCCACTGACGGCTTTCATCGTCAGTTTATTGAGAATTATACTGTTATCTATTTTATCCTACATAGCCTCATTATCTAATTCAGATTTATTCATAGTTCTGTTTTACCACCTACGAAATTGTCATTTGCCCGTTTTTTTTTCTAGTTTGCATTCTGGTATTGAGTAAAACTTGCTTAGTATAAATTGTGCTGTCTGGTCCACCAATATTTGCCGCTTTCATAAATCGTTTCATCATACATAGCCTCATCCATATATCCTCGAAGTTTCGGCAGTTATCATCCATATAAATATTTGGACTTAAGTCTTGTATTGCGTTTTCGGCATGAAACCTCAAGCAACCCTTCGTCGAAATCTGAAGGAAACTAAACTTCATCTGAAACCCAGTGTTCATATGAAAAAAATTGATCTAGGGGCGCTTGATGATTTTAACAACTTTATGTCTCGTTGCGGATCAATTTTTTCTGTCCTTGGTGCCCTTCTTGACGGAAATTTGCCAACGCTTACGTCTCAGCAGTGTGAGAAGCTCATGCCTCTCATTAACCTGGTTGCGACTGAGACTGAAGACAGGCACAAACGAAGTTTCAACTTCATATTAAAAAACGTTCCCAAGAATAGACAGCCAATTGATGTTGCCTTTCAATTCCTTTTTTCATGCGGCTTCAACTTTAGGGTCGCGGAAGCCAAAAGGCTTTCATCTAGGAGCAAGAATCCACCCATTCTTGTCAAACTCTTTTCATCGATTGAAGTGGATTTTATTTTCTCCCATTTGGAGCGATCAACTCAATATCTCAGGGCAAATAAACTTTTTATTAGTCGAGACCAGACTCCACTGCAACGTAAAATTTCTCCCATATTACCAAACGTAAAGCCACCCCCGACTTCTACCCAAATGACTTTTTCCTCTAAAGCAGTTTCTCCATCTGGTGTCGACCAAATCCCGCCACTATCTACAGCGGCCCCAGTTCCATCTAGCTCTTCGACTGATCACATTATCACAGAGACGGTTAAAACTAGCCTCTTTAAAACTCCCCCACGGAGCAAGGATTGTTCAAATGCGGCTCCCAAATTTATAAGGGAGCTTGATCTTAGCAGTAAAGATGAGCTAGTCCTTGAAGCACAACCGGCTCCCAGCACTCAGAATAGTGATTTGGTTAATAAACTGACATCGAATCCACCCCGTTCCCAGGCCTGGCCACTCAGGTCTGACCTTGCAGTTAGGTCTAATAAGCTAGATGAGAGTTCAGGGAGGTCTTTACCTGTTCCTATTCTGAATTCTCAACTTACCGCCACAGTTGTGAAGCCCTCTTACACATCAGACTGTAAAATGCAAGTATATTGCATTGCTGATAAATTTTCCAATCCCGTTGCTAGCCTGACACCCCAAATAATAAAGCCCTTTCCTGATGTTAACTGTTTCCCGAAACCATTACGTTCGCCACCTAACATAAACTACCCCTCGTATTATGCTAACAATTCCCAAAATCCTATTTTCTTGTCTCCTATTTTTCCAACCCAACAAAATAGTTTTCCTCTTCCTGGGTCCTCCTCAAATGTTTTTCCACCTAATGCTGAATCTCTAACTAGTAATTACCCCATAAATTTTAGACCGCAGCAACTTTGTCCTCCACCAATTGCTCCGTTCCCTCAGCTTAATTTTCCACCTCCGGCTCTTCCTTTTTTATAAGTAGCAATGAGCGGAACCTACATATTAGGAATACGCTCTGTATTGTCTCTCTTAACGCAAGATCTGTCGTACAAAAGATGGCACACCTAAGAAGTGTAGCTGTTGAGTTTGACACAGACGTATTGTGCATTACTGAATCTTGGGCCCACTCTCTAATTTCAGATTCGGTACTTAACATAGATAGCCTTAGTTTATACCGCCAGGACCGTGCCGACAGACGCGGCGGTGGATGCCTTCTTTACATAAGATCCTCACTTGCACAATCGCCTTATAACTTGAACATTTCCTCCTTCTCTGGAAATTTATGTTTTGCTTCGGTAATCCTTCCTCAAAATAGGAAAGCCTTAGTCGGATGTGTATATAATCCTCCTTGTTCCTCCGGTAATGAAAGCCAACTTTGCGAACTCTTTGAAAAAATTGCTGAAACTTCTTTCGATGTCAAGATAATCGTAGGCGATTTTAATTTGCCAGAAATTGACTGGCACACACATACTTCTCCTCCTAAATTCCAGAAGCTGCTTAACACAATTTACTTTTCAAACCTGACTCAATTAGTTCACTCTTCGACCAGAAACGATAGTGTTTTAGACTTAATTTTTACTAATGGCACCTTCCCTTTATCTATGGATTTTTATCATGACCTCTTTGCAAGTGATCATGCATTGATTCATTGTCGCCTTCCAGTTGCCATTTCCGCAAAGCCAACAGTTCAACGTAGTATTTTTGACTTTGCTAATGTGAATAAGGATTTAGTAAATAACTTTACCTGCACTCTTGATTGGCACAATATTTTTTCAAATAATGATCTAAATTTTTTCAACAATTTATTACAATGCGTAACAGAAGATCTTCTTGACCTTATTCCTCGGAAGATGTTCAAACCGAGTGCTAATTCCACCGCTATCCCACACTTTCTTAAAAACAGACTTAAAAAGTTACGGAAGCAGTTTAAAGATCCTTCTGTGAGTTCATTATCAGTTCATCTAAG